CCACGCTTTTTGAGCCAAATACGCAACTGCGTGTGTTAATAATTGCATGTTTTCACTGCTCATAGGATATGCGGGTTCGGGTTGGTTTGCGGATCTTGTGCCGACGGGTCGGGTCGGTTTGCGGAACTAATTGGCNCAGGACGGCAAAAATCAACTGACTGTGTGAACGTGAAAATTAATAGAATATCACAGTCTCCCATCTTCAGAGCAATCTGACTATTATACATTAGCGTTAAGAAAGTTTACTTAAATATCTGCCACAAAATAAGTAACCGGATCAAAGTAACATTACGTACAGTCCGCGGCACTGAGTGCAGAAGTCGATGTGTCCCATTATCATTCATATCACATCTGTATCATATATCTCCTCATCCGAGTCAGCTTCTTGAGCCGTATCTGACCGTGCAACACACACAGTGTCACATACTGTATGCAGAAGTATTATTTTAAGCAACACATTAAGTTAGCGACCCACTTGATAACCCGCGTCGTAGGACCGTTTAGCGAGAGCACGTATGTTTTGGATTAGGCCAACCGGCTAACTCAAACATATCCAGGTTAGGTTGAACCAGCTTCGTCGTACAGGCCTCAGGAGTTTTCTTATTCTTAACTTTGTTTTGTTTATCACCTTTACCTATCCCTTTCTAGAATGGATTCAATTAGACTGTAATTGTCCCTGTGAGGATTCCTCAATGGGGTCATAGCAGCAGCAACCAGAGGGATATAACAAAAACAGAACATAATGCACATTGTTTAACAAATAATAAAAATGACATATCCCAAATGGGGAAAGCATCCCTTGGACAGCACTTGCACTTAAAGTTAACAGGCAGGAAACAAAACCCCAGTTTGCACAAATATAGAAAAATAACCCGTCCAGAGAAAATCTGGAGAGCATTCATAAACACTTAAATAAAATAAATTACTACAAATAACAATTTCATTCCTTAATCTTTTATATTTGTGATGCATGGTTACTGTTAAGAACATACCTTTATTAGCACAGCTTTTTAATATTTAAAACTACCCAGTTTTCTAGGTGCTTATATTAACTCAGGAAGGTTAGCACAAAATACGTCTAAGTCAGCATTTGGTACCAGTGTTATTTTTGGCAGCTATTTTAGATTTAGTCTTAAGAAAAAAAAAATTGCATTAGTTTTATTCACATTTTAGTCCTTTTTATCCTTCATAGTTTTAGTCCAGTTTTAGTCGATGACAACTCATTAGATTTTAGTCAACTTTTAGTCACAATGTTTTCTCTCTTTAAACTAATTCAGTTAGGCAAATACAGGCATCGGAAATTGGATTCAAGGTGACAGTATCAGTTGTTGAAATTCGTAAGGCAACATTTCACTCTCTTAACACTTTACTTGTGTAATGTGAGTGACGTGTGCAAATTCCCAGAATCCCAACTAATTCAACCAATGACAGGGATGCATTTTGACAGACAAGATGGACAATTGGGGAAAAATATCCTGTATTTTGAATGTCCAATAGTCCACCATTAACACCTTAGTCCCGTCTCGTCAACGAAAACAAAATATACATTTCGTCATCTGAAAATCTATTTTTAGCTCGTCATCGTCTTAGTCATGTAAAAAAGGTCGTTGACGAACATTTGAAGTCATAGTTTTCGTGGACGAAATTAACACTGTTTGGCACAGACAAAAAGAGGAAACATTTGCTTCAAAGCTTGCAGTGTTGTCATTAATATATCTACCTCCTTGCTGGTCCAACATCACGACGGTGTTGGTGCCGGTCTGTCTGCTCTGAAAACACAAGAGGACGGATCAGAACTAATGAAACCATTACAGACAGTAATACATCACAAAGAATGGAAATAATTAGGGTTGGACAGAATCAAACGATTTGATGAGGATGTTTGTCTGTTCAGAATTCTACCACTATTATTCATTTAAAAAGTGTTTTAGTTACAATCATTTCTGTTGGGGAAAATACTGAATGTACCAACTGTTCTTATCAGAGTAGCACAAGATAACAAAGGCCCTACGTAGCTGTGTACGTAACAGGATGTATGATTACCCAGAAGAGCATCAGGACTGTTTGAGGCATATGATAGCTATGTGATTAACATGATGGTTCTCTATGGAGATAGACACATGACTGTCATGTTTATTGCTTACGCAGGCCTTAGCTAATCTGAACTAAACATTGAATACCGCTTTGAACCGGTATTCCTCCATCTTGTTACTGTAACACTCTCTCGTATATCAGCATGTGAAGGACACTGTTCAGGAACTAGTTGTACCAAATGCGCTGTATGTGACTACTTACATTCTTGAGATAATAAATACATGTATCCTGATATTGAAGCTCAAGCCGGTGACGAGTGAGATTTTTCCTAACAATTTCCTTGTAATAAGTGCTATTACTATCTGAATATCAAATTATTAACAGTTCATTATTCAAGCATATAAAGGCCGAGTCATTTAGAAAAGGTTGCATATCGTCATGCAGGCGGGGGTGATTAATAACCAACACAGTCACATTCTTGTGATCAAAACACAGCAGCAGGGAAAACGAATGTGTGTCAGAAGTCTCACCTCCTCCGCCATCTGCAGCATCCTGCGAGTGCTCTCCAGCGACTGGAGAGGATAAACAGGGGGTTTTAGTACAAAAAATAAGAAATATATATAAACAAATTATAATTATTATGAGAAAGATTAATAAAAACAATCAAAAGATTCAAATATGGCAATTCATAAAAATAACATCTAGCCTATTGAATATTAGATTCATCAAGTTTTTTGAGGTCACTGTGCTTTTNGTGTGCCTTGGCAGTCTCAAGTTTTCTAAGATGAAAAAACTTTAAAAACATTTCTCATCAAACTATTTGTTTGTAGACTTGGCAACAACAGATGACCAGTTCCTTTAACGTGGATTATCTT